TCACACTTGCTCACCCGCGAGGAATGTTCTAAACAGGAGGTCTTCGACCAACCTGCCAACCCCAAGGATGTTCTAAACAAGTGACCACCCAGCCCGAGGGCCTTAGTCATGGTGGGTTTTGGTCTTCACACTTGCCCACCCCAAGAGATGTTCTAAACAGGAGGTCTTCGACCAATCTGCCCACCCTAGGGGATGTTCTAAACAAGTAACTTCCAAGTCACACCACACCACATACATCCTGTCATCCAAATTATACCAACATTCCAAGCATAAGAAAATGTTCAATAAAGTGAGTAAAATCAGAAGAATCACTTAACTTCATTGACTTTTGAGCAAACTTTGCAATTTACATCTCTGTTCGAATTTTCCAACTTTCTTAAAAAAAAGCAAAAAATTTTCACACATAATATTTTTTCAAATTAGCTATGTTCCATGACTTGGCAAGTGATCAGCCTTCAGCATCCTTCAGCGAGTACGCTCCTCCTGTGTGTACTCGCTCGACCAGGTATGGCCTTCCCAGTTCGGCTCCAGCTTTCCCACATGCTTGAGCACATCGACCCGTTTCCAAACCAGGTCGCCTACTTGGAGTCTGTGAATTTTCACCTTTTTGTCATGAGCGGCTCACATCCTCTGCTTGTACGCCTCCACCCTGGTTGCTGCTCTTCCACGCATCTCCTCAATAGTATCCAGGGCTGCCATCATTAGATCCTCGTTCTGCTCAGTATTATATGTGCTCGACCTCTAGGATGATAGCTCGACTTTGACCGGCAGCAACGCTTCCATTCTATAAGCTAAACTGAAAGGGGTTTCTCCTGTTATCGACCTCGGGGTTTTGCGATACGCCCAAAGTACTGAGCTAAACTTATCGACCCATGCTCCCGAGGCCTTTTCCAGCTTTGTCTTCAGCCCATTCAGTATAATTCGGTTTGTTACTTCGACCTGGCCATTGGCTTGCGGATGAGCAACGGAGGCAAAGTGTTGCTCGATTTTCATGTCTTCACACCATGCTCGAATCCGCTTGCCATTGAACTGAGTACCATTGTTGGAAATCAACACTTTGGGCACGCCAAACCGGCAGCAAATGTTGTTATATAGAAATTTAATTACTTTCTCCTCTGTAATCTTCGCCAAGGGTTCGGCCTCCACCCACTTTGTGAAATAATCAACCGCCACTATCAAGAACATCCTCTACCCCGTTCCCTGAGGCATCGGCCCCACCAGGTCGATACCCCATTGGGCGAATGGTATTGGGGCACCCATCGTCGTCATCATTTCTGCCGGTTGGTGAATAAGTGGACCGTGCCTCTGGCATTGTAAGCACTTCCTCACCATCATCTTCGCGTCCTCTCTTATCGTCGGCCAGAAGTATCCTGCCCTCAGAATTTTTGCAACCAAGGCTCCAGATTTGCTATGATTACTGCAGCATCCTTCATGCATTTCTCTCAATAAATATCGGCCTTCCTCCTTGGTTACGCAGCGTAAGTGCGGTCCAGCGTATGACCGCTTGTAAAGAATGCCACCTTGCTCGAAAAATCTCCTCACCACCTTTATCGCCCCTTCTTTCAGCTCCTTTATGATCGGGGCTCTCCAATCCCCTACCTCTTCGATCTCTGCCACTTCCGCCTCGAACTCAGTCCTTTCCAAGTGTAATAGAGTGACACTTCTACTCCGACAGTCCACCAAACTTTGAGCAATTTTCGCTAGCAAGTCTGCTCGACCATTCTCTCCTCGAGGGATCTGTATAAGCTCGAACGATTCAAACTCCTCCTTTAGTTTCTTCATCTCGTCCACATACTTCTGCATTCGATCCTCTTTAACCTCAAATCCCTCTTGGAACTGCCCAACCACCAATTGGGAATCAGAATGTACCAGCACCTTTCGAGCTCCTCCCACCATGGCTAACCGTAGGCCTTTGATCACCGCCTCATACTCAGCCTCATTATTAGATATCTTAAACCCCACTTTTGCCGCGAACTCCAAATTATCGCCCTTAGGAGAAACTAGGACAATTCCTAATCCAGCCCCACTTCTGGCCACAGATCATCCGCGAATAACTGCCACACTCCTCCAGACTCCTCCTCGACCTTAGTGCCTTCTTGAATAAAATCTGCCAACACCTGCGCCTTTATGGCCCTCCTCGGCTCATACGATAAAGAGTATTTGCTCAGCTCAACTGCCCATTTTACTAATCGACCAGAGACTGATGGCCGGCCGAGCGTTTCCCCCAATGGCATGTTCGTTCGCACCCTCACTTTATGGTTCAAGAAATAAGGCCTCAATTTTCGAGCAGTTACCACCACAGCTAAAACACACTTCTCGATCTCCGAGTACCTCATCTCTGCTCCCTGCATCACCCTGCTTACGTAATAAATAGGGAACTGTGCTACTCCTTCTTCTCGCAGCAACACCGAACTCACAGCCCTCTCTCCAATGGAAATATACAGCACCAACTCTTCGCCTTGTACGGGTTTAGCCAACAGGAGAAGGTTAGCCAGCACCCCTCTCAACTCCTCAAACGCCTTTTGCGCTCCCTCCGTCCACTGAAATTTCGAGCTCTTTTTCAGTGTTTTGAATAATGGGCCATTTTTCTCCGCCGCCTTCGATATGAAACGACCCAGCCCCGCAATTCGACCAGCTAAGATCTGCACCTCCTTAACATTCGTCGGCGGCTTCATCTTCATTACGGCCCGAACCTTCTCAGGATTCACTTCAATACCTCTCTTGGTCACCAAGTAACCCAAGAATTTTCCCGACCTCACCCCGAAAGAGCACTTAGCTGGATTCAATGTCATCCCATACCTCCGCAATGTTGAGAATGTTTCTTTCAAGTCTCGCACATGATCCAACTCCTCCTTGCTCTTCACCAACATATCGTCCACATACACTTCCATGTTCCTCCCCAATTGCTCCTTGAAAATTTTATCGACCAACCTTTGATACGTGGCGCCTGCATTTTTTAGGCCGAATGGCATGACCACGTAACAATAGGTTCCTCGACTCGTTACAAAACTCACCCGCTTCCTGTCCTCTCTCGCCAAGAGAATTTGATGATATCCCTGGGAGGCGTCCATCAGGCTCAGCAGTTTGCACCCTGCCGTTGAGTCGACCAGCTGGTCGATTCTGGGCAGTGGGTATAAATCCTTTGGGCATGCTTTGTTCAGATCACGGAAATCAATGCACATCCTCCATTTTCCCTCCGCCTTCGACACCATCACTGTATTCGACAACCATTCGGGGAACTGGATCTCCTTGATATGCCCTGCTCCCAATAGCTTCTCGACCTCCTTGTCAATGATCTTGTCCATCTCCGCCCCATGGTGCCTTCTTTTCTGCTTTACTGGCCTCACATTGAGGTCGATGTTCAGCCGATGTTCGATCAGCTCTGCACTTATCCCAGTCAACTCCTCCGCTGTATAGGCAAAAATGTCAGCGAACTACCTAACCAGATCGATCAGCCTCGACCAAATAGGCTCCTCCAGGTCCTTCCCGATTCTGAATTTCCTCTCCTCACACCCCTCGATCATCTGAATCTCCTCATCTTCTCCTCCTGGTTGGATATCCATTTTCTCCTTACCCTTCTCCATTCTCTGTTTATCCTCTTTTGACCTCGACCCACCTGGTCGATTAATCTCCTCCTCCTTTGACTTGGTCTGCTTCTTCGCCAGTTGCTTATTATTGCTAACCGTTGTTTGGTAGCAGATCCTCAAAGTGAGTTGATCCCCGGCAATCTCCCATACGTTTTCGCCCACAGGATACTTAATCGTCATGTGGTACGTGGATACAACCGCCTGGAATGCATTTAAGCTCGTCCGCCCCATAATGATGTTATAAGATGATTCAGCTCCTACGATCACAAACCTACCCATGCGCACCTTCCTCAGCTCTCCTGATCCCAGCGCCACGGGCAGACTGATCTTCCCCATCGGCATAACCTCTTCCCGTTAAAGTCGTAAAGCGCTGTGGTCACCGGTTTCAACTCCATATTCAACTCCTTGTTAATTTGCACAAAACAATCATAGAACATCACGTCCACCGAACTCCCGGTATCAATAAACACCTTTTTCACGTCAAAGCCTGCAACCTCCGCGGTTATCACCAAAGCATCGTTGTGTGGTAGGACCACCCCCTCGGCATCCTCCGCCTTAAAACTTATCACCGGCATGCGAGCCGTAATCCCCACCTCCTCTCTCTTCCTCTTCACAGCTCGAGCATGCTCCTTCCTCGCCCTATTCGAGTCGCCATTTGTTGGCCCTCCGGAAATCATGTAAATCGTCCCTCTCTTCATTGGGGCTTCTCCTCCGTGCCCTCCCTTATCGCCATCTCTCCTCGGCTTCTTTCCTCGACCATCTCGACCATCTCCGTCGCCTCCTTCCTCGTCCCTGTCACTTCTCTCCTCCGAATCCTCTCGATACCTTCTCCTTCCTTTCCCTTTTGCTCTATCCTGATATACAAACTCTTTCAGGTATCCTGCTCGAATCAACCTCTCGATCTCATCCTTCAAATGTCTACAGTTCTCCGTGGTATGACCGTAATCTCGGTGTAAATATCTGACCTGCGTCGAATTGGGCCTGTAAACCTGGTCTTCGGCCAGGTCACATCCTCGCTCGGCATCTTCTGCTCCATAGCCTCGAGCACCTCTGTCATATCTTTCCTCAAGGGCGTAAAAGTGTGGTACCTCTGCCTTTCGAACAACATTGGCCTCCTCTGCCACTCGTCCCTTTTTTCCTTTTTCGAATCTCGACTCTCTCTTCGGGGCGATGCCCTCTTCTGCCCGCTCCTCCTGGGCGAATTTCTCCTCGGCGATCTTCCCCTTTGCGGGCTCTTCTCCTTCTTTGGCTCTGGTCAAGCCACCCCCTCCAGCTTTGCAAACTCCATCTCCATCTCCATCTCCATCTCCATCTCCTCCAAATTAATGTACTTCCTGCACCGCTTCAGAACATCCTCATATGATCGAGTCGGGGTCTTTGCCAGGGAAGTGCGACAAGGACCCGCTCGAAGACTCCGTATTAATCCTCCTGCTTTCACCTCATCTGAGGCCGAGTGCACCTCCAAACATGTCTGATTATATCGAGCAACGTACTTCCTTAATGACTCCTTCTCCCCCTGTCTCATTGCCATCAAGGTCAGATACGTTTTCTCCTGCGCCACTGCGCTTGAATATTGATTGGTAAGCTTGCTGGAAAAATCCTCAAAATCCGCAATCGACCTAGAGGGTAACAGATGAAACCAGTCAAGTGCCCCTCCGCGCAAGGTCGATAGAAACGCCCTGCAGCAACAAACAGAATCAGAATACCCATGCAATACAGCCATATTTTCAAAGGTCCTCACATGCCTCGACTGGTCAGATGACCCATCATACACCAAGTTGGTCTCCTTGAAATTATTCGGCAAAGGAGCAGCGAGAATCTCCCTCGAAAAGGGATGTCTTCGAGCTCTCCTCTCTGGCCTCCCTTCCACCTTGTCCTGTAACTGGCGCAACTGCTCCGCTATCCTCTCCATCGCCCGATCTCTTCCAACTCCTCCCTCTCCATAACTGGACACATCCTCATCTTGGTTTCCAGCCACTGTGGTCGGCGCAGTGGTGGCATGAGATGTGTGGCTCGTAACTTGCTGCACCGCCTGCGTCGCCGCGGCCGCCGCTATCCTCTGCATCTCCTCCCAGGTCATCGTCACCATTTGCTGACCGGGGGCTTGGACAACTTCCTGTGGTTGCGCTCCTCCTTGCGCCATCGCTCCTCCTTGCACCAGTGTTGGATTTGGTGGCAGCGGCGGAGGCATCGCCACCGCAGCTGCTGCGCGAGCTTCCTGGGCCCGACTAGAGCGGGCATCTCCTCCGGGAATTGCCGTCGTCACTCCCACACCTTGAAGGATAGGTGTGGGAGTTATCGGTGTCTGGATGGGCCGGAAAACCCGGAGGAGGGCCTTGCCCCAACGGCCTGGTCGTCGTCCAAGCTTCGTCGAACGTTGACTGCAAGTTTTTGGGAATTCCGTCCGCCATAGCTGAGCTTCGAACACAACTTTTCAACCAAAATCCCCACAGACGGCGCCAATAATGCAAGTGTAAGCGTCCTGGTCCGGTTTGGAACGGATCGATCTTTGTCCTCGCCGGTAGAATGCCGGAAACCTGCAAGTAACTCTCACACCGGGGGTTGTGTCCGGTGAAGAGCCTCCGATGCTTAAGTCAGTACGTGTATGAGTATACTGAAGAGAAGAATGAATAGAATCTGTTAAGGGAGAAAGGCTCACCCCTTTATATAGGGGTGAGATACCTGCCGTAATAGCTGCCCGGGTAAGGTGAGCTGGCTGCCCAAGCTGCCCGTCCGTACTCTGACACACAGCGCGTATGTCAGAGGTTGCGCGGGGGTGTTGGGGAGCTGTCAGAGGTGGTTATCGCTATCACACAATATATTCTCGACACGTGTCCTCTTGCACATGGGGTAAATATTCTCCTGAAATTCGGTTAGAGGCTCTTACACGCGCCTGTGACTAGGCCTGTAACGCCCCGTTCGTTTATGAATAATTTGGATTATTATTATTATTATTATTATTATTATTATTATCATTATCTGTGGCTATTATTATTGATTGTTAATTGTCTAAATGCTTAAATAATTTTTATGTGCCTAATTGTGTTTATTATATATATATTATTTTCGGTATTTTTATATTAAATATTAATTTAAATATTTTAATTATTATTTTATTCTCGTCGTCCGAGCATGTTCGAGCCGAAGCCGCGCGCCCGTAAGCCACGCATCCGTGAGCCGCGCGCACCCCTCCCTCCTTCCTTTT